ATGTTTTTGATGAGGAACAGCTACTGGGTGTTTCCTCAAGATTGCATTTTCCGGCCAAGAGATGGAAGGTGACAGTGCTGTTCCCACACAGGGATGGTCAAGGACCTGCCTGTGTCAATACCATCACAGCACTTGCAAACAGCAGGCACATGGACCCTGTCTGTAGGTCACAGACCTAACCTTAAGGAAGAGTAGGACGTTCTTTTCACCCATATCGCTCACTGTATAAATTCACATCAGATATCTATGTTGGAACAGTGGGGCTAGGGATTTCCTCTGGGTTGCTGATCCTCATTTTGCTGAGAAAGGATTTTCCTGGGCTTACTGAGGTAGGATGCAAAGGAGGTGGTAAAGGGGCCTTTCAAATGATGTAGGACAACTACTAAAGGAAGAGGTTGCAGTCTCAGAAGCCAGGTTCCATCACTAACTCTTAACTTTTGCCAACCAACGGGACCCCTCCTTCCTGCCATCCCCTTAGGCCTAGGAATGCCTGAGTTTTATGCCATCAAGAATCCTGACTTTCATTTTTCTCTACTATCATGTACAAGACAGGCATCTCTCTGAACCCAAGTAGCCTCACATGCCTCGCAGGGACCATTCTGACTGGGCATCAGAAGAAGCTCCCTGGACTAACAAGAAGGGTCCTGGGAGGGGAAGGAGTCACACACAATGATGAGGCCGCCTTTCAGGCACCATGTCTTAAGTGGAGACTGACGCATCTGTGGGTGAAGGCATTTCCCAGTGGTGGTTAATTGCTTGATGGGAAAGCTTTGCCTCGGGGCAGAAAGTGCTGAGAAAAAGCAAAGTTGAAATCCTCTGCCCACAGAAACCCAAACCTCTTCACTGTCCTCAGGCTGGAGAGGGGGTTCCATTTGGTGATTCTCCAAGTACATTGCCAAAAGTGGCACCATCAGTCAGGCCTGTCTGCCAGCATTTTCTGTAGCTCATGATGGGTAAGAAAGGCCAGAGATACTGCTCCTGGAACTGTCTCTTGCACTGTTGGAGTCCCTAAATTGGGGCAGTTTGATGATAAACAGATCAAACTTCAGCCGGGGAGGTGGTGACAGAGCTGTGATTTGTTAGGGGGGAAAGGTTGCAAAAACCATAGCTTAGGGCCATGTTCTCTAGGATGGAGCTAAAACAAAGTGTGCTATCTGGTGTGGATGAGTTCTAGGAGGTGATGTGGCTTTCATAGTTATTTGGCCCTTTTGGGACATGTGGCATCTACCATGGGGAAAAGCCCTGAGTCTAGGAGATCTGGGGACAGTGACAAGAACCAGGTTCCAGTGTTCAATGTACCAATACGGGGGCTGGTGGGGTGGTGCCTTATCAAAGTGCTCTCTAGACAATCCCCTCCTCTGTGGACACTTTTGCTCTTTTCGGTCCCTGAGATCAATTCAGTCCCAGTGTGTGTAGAGAGAACCCCACTATGGGGCCATGAGGAGTTGGGGGCCATGACTTTGTTTGGTGTATGGGAGAATGGGCCATGGGCCAGAGACATCCTTGAACGTGACGCAAGGAGCCTTGTAATTATGGTTACCATGTGTTTCCAATATTTTGAAATTGTCCTGTTTCCAAATATTCTTTTGTCTCTTCCATATACATTGAAACCCCTTGGGAATTTCAATATTTCAACATTCAAATGACATTTTGCAGACTGTTCCAGCGCCCTCCATAAACATATGGAAGATTTGTCCTTATTTTCTTATTTGGAATGTATGTTTATTGTACCAATAGCCTGAGCTCTGAGTTCAGAATATAGAACTATTTCATGAAAGGTAGCCTGTGAATGAGTGAATAGAAGAGACTATCTCTAATGTCATGAAAATGGTATTGGAACTGTAGGTACCCATTTAGGCTTCCACCAAAGCTCTGGGCTCTGGGTCCCAGCATCCAACAGATGGCACCTGCCCACCTGATATCATTATAGAATGATATCACCCATTCAGGCATGCCTCATTCTGCATGGGCTGGGCATCTCAGTGTACCAGGTATTGTATCAAGCTCCATGATCTTCAGAATGCTTAGTGTCCTAAGAGCATCAACAGGCAATTAGGATACGAAGTGATAAGAATGTCCATAAAAGGAGCTGAGCTCTGGCCAGGTGTGAGACCAAGGAAGGCATCTGGGGATAAGGGACATCTAAACTGAGATCTAAATGACAAGAAAAGCTTGGGTCAAAATACAGAGGGGCATTTTTCTGAGGTGGGGGATTACTTCCTCAGTTCATGAGTCTCCACACATGGTCTTTCTTGTCTGCCTGTCCAAGATAGCATCTCCTCTCACTCTCCATTTGCTTCTTTCTTAACTCCTTCAAGACAATACATCCTT